GTCCCAGGTGTGTCCCCCCCCAGGGGAGGGGGCCAGCCAGCCTGCAAGGGGGGGGCAGAGCAGGGGGAGATGGGCAGGGAGCGGGAGGAGGGGGCTGGGGGAGGCAGCAGAACCCTGCGCACCCCTTGTTCACCCTGCTCCCCCTCCTGCCAGCTTGGGGACCTCACCGGGGTGTGGGGACGGGTGCTGGGGTGGCTCCGTGCCCGGTACGTTCTCGTACCAGTCCCCCGAGGAAGTGCTGGAGGTGTCGGGATCGGGATCGGGATCTGCTGGAGGTTCCCGGCGCGGGGAGAGCGCCGGGGGCAGTGCTGGGAAACAGGGTCCTGCTGGCACCTTCCAGCCCTGCTCCCCTCCCTGGGGACCCAGCTCCCATGCCCTCCCATCTCTGCCCCGTCCCGGGGGTGTCTCCATCCCTGTTGCTGTCCCCATCCCTGGGATCTCTCCATCCCTACTCCTGTCCCTGGGGTGTCCCCATCCCTGCTCCCAACCCTGGGGTCTCACCATCTGGGGTCTTTCTGTCCCTTCCTCCCATCCTGGTGGTGTTTCCATCCCTGTTGCCACCTCTGAGGTCTCTCCATCCCTGCTCCTGTCCCCAGGGATGTCCTCGTCCCTGCTCCCATCCCTGGGATCTCTCCATCCCTACTCCCATCTTTGGAGTCTCTCCATCCCAATTCCTGTCCCATCTCTCCTTCCCTGTTCCTGTCTCTGAAGCTGTCCCCATCCCTGCTCCCATCCTTGGGGTCCCTCCATCCCTGTTCCCATCCTTGGTGTCCCTCCATCCCTGCTCCCATCCTTGGGGTCCCCCCATCCCTGCTCCCACCCCCAGGGCTCTCCCCATTCCTTCTCCCATCCTTGGGGTCCCTCCATCCCTGCTCCCATCCTTGGGGTCCCCCCATCCCTGTTCCCATCCTTGGGGTCCCTCCATCGCTGCTCCCACCCCCAGGGCTCTCCCCATCCCTGTTCCCATCCTTGGGGTCCCTCCATCCCTGTTCCCATCCTTGGTGTCCCTCCATCCCTGCTCCCATCCTTGGGGTCCCCCCATCCCTGCTCCCACCCCCAGGGCTCTCCCCATTCCTTCTCCCATCCTTGGGGTCCCTCCATCCCTGCTCCCATCCTTGGGGTCCCCCCATCCCTGCTCCCACCCCCAGGGCTCTCCCCATTCCTTCTCCCATCCTTGGGGTCCCTCCATCCCTGCTC